AGACTGAGAAAATTTCCCTCCCATAGTAAGCTGCTCTTACTCTTCTCCAATACCTAACCCTAGATTTACCAATCTCAAATTATTTTTTCACCGTGTTCTCTAATCTCTGCTTCCATGACAATTTCTAGTAATTATGGTCCCAACTATTATTTTCTTCAAGGAGACGTATTTAGCAACAACTCTACCTGTATCCAAACCCTAAGCCATTTTGCATGTGTATTATGACGAATTTTTTAACTGAAACTTTTTGAAAGCTGGAGTTTAGTCTAAATCTCATTATATTTCCATTAGACATCCTTCTGCCAAGCCCATCACCTTTTTGCAAGCAGTAAGAATACTGATTTGGGGATCATAGAAAACAAATAGAGGGGCCAGACAGTGGCAGAGTGTTGAAACATGATGCTCTGCATGGCTGATATACCTGGGAAGGTGCCAGTTTCAGTATTCAGAGACCTCCTTGAATATGATGGGCACACACATGCCCATGACTTTGGAGATGTTTTTGGCTGGAGGCTATTTCTCTGTCTTTTTCTGGATATCACTGTCTCTCTGGTTCATGGAATGAATGATATTAAAAACTTAAGAAAGAGGAAGGCAAAGCTCTCCTTAGAGGAACAGATCTTAGGGGCACAGCCTCAAAGAGGGAGGAAGGAAGGAAGGAGTCAGACCTACTCTGGGAGGCTGGGGGAGCAGCCTCCTGGGTGCATGGCCGCTAGATGGAGTGAGGGATGGAGGGGGTGAGCCTCCCTTAGGAGGGGATGCCTCTGGGAGTGGGGTATGGCTAGAGCTCTCTTGGAGCTCTGTGGCCTCTTGGGGAAGCTGGCTATGCCTGAGCTAGGTGTGAGTGTGGTCTGGCAGGGAGCCAGGGGCCTGGTGCAGCACTCACCCTTTCCCTGTGTGCATCCCCACAGTGCGCCAAGTCCGGCTGGTGCGGGGCCTGCAGGATGTGGAGGCACGGGAACAGGGCGCAGCCACCATGAAGGTGGAGCTGTCACATGCTGACGTGGAAGGCAGCTGGACGCGGGATGGCCTACGGCTCCAGCCAGGGCCCACATGCCAAATGGCTGTGCATGGCCCCACCCACACCCTCACACTCTCGGAGCTGCAAATTCAGGACAGTGGCCTTGTGGCCTTCAGGGCAGAGGGTGTGCACACATCAGCACGGCTTGTCATCACTGGTGCGTAGGCAGGGACCTGTTCCAGAGCATCTGCTCTTGTCCTAAGGTGGCCCAGGGAGGCAGGTGGGGACAGTGGGGTTTGGGAAATGGAATCTTGGCAGGGGCTTGTTCCTGAGCCACCTTTGTGTCACTTCAACCTTCTTGTGTTTCCTACCTCCCCAGACCCTGTCCCTGCCACCCCAGACAGCTGAGCCTTGCTTCTCACTTCACCTGCCCCTGTCTCCTTCCTCCTTCCCCCTCAGAGTTGCCTGTTCGATTCGTCCGTCCACTGCAGGATGTGGTGGCCACTGAAAAGGAGAAGGTCACCCTGGAGTGTGAGCTGTCCCGTCCCAATGTTGACGTGCGGTGGCTGAAGGTGCCTCGGTTTCCTTTGCCTTCTCTGCCTCTCATAGTGGGCAGCCAGGGTGGGACCCCTATGCTGGGCCACCCCAGGGGCCCTGACTGGCCGTCTTCTCTCCACAGGATGGGGTGGAGCGGAGGGTTAGCAAGACAGTGGGCATTTCGGCCCAGGGCACTTGCAGGAGTCTCATCATCTACCGGTGTGAGTTTGGGGACCAGGGCATCTATGTGTGTGACGCCCAGGATGCACAGAGCTCTGCCTCCTTGAAAGTGCAAGGTAAGGCCTGGGCAGGGCAGGCGGGGCAGAGCTGGGGCAGGGCCCCTCACCTACCTGCCCTGGTGAGATGTTCATTGCTCTGGCTCCATCCCTCAGCAAGCTGGGGCACGTTGTGAGGGTGCCAGGAGCACCTCTGTGCATCCAGATGTGACAAGGCTCATTCACTGCCCCAGGCCGCAACGTCCAGATTGTGAGGCCCCTGGAGAACATCGAAGTGACTGAGAAGGAGAGTGCCACATTCATCTGTGAGATCTCCCACGATGAGGTGCCTGCTCAGTGGTTCCGGGAGGGCACTAAGCTGCGACCCAGTGACAACGTGCGCATTCGCCAGGAAGGTGCGAGGGCAGGCAGGCTGCAGCAGGGCGGGGGCTGCGCCCTTACTCTCCATCCCCTGGTGCTGAGCAGCCTTCATCCACAGGAAGGAGGTACACTCTCATCTATCGGAGGGTCCTGGCTGAAGATGCAGGAGAGATCAAGTTTGTAGCTGAAAACGCAGAATCACGAGCCCAGCTCCGAGTGAAAGGTGAGGGAGGTGGGGGTGGGAGGGACTGACTTGTGTGTGTTCCCGTATACGCGCTTGCCTGAGGATGCTGGGGTCTTACAAACACACCTGGGGCACCACGAACCCCTCCCAGGAGAGGGACAGCAATGACTCAGGAGGACAGAAGTTGTTGCTTACTTGGCAGTAAGATAGTAGGTGGGGGGGGGAGGGGGGCGGGAAACAAATACCATTGAAGTCTCTGCCCTGGGGCTTCAGCAAGCACTGGAGAGAAGAGGTGAGGCTCTGGCAGGTAGAGGGCACGTGGTGGCCTTGATGACAGAGTAGAGTGGCTGTACAACTAAGGCAGAGGGACAGGAGGGTGAGCTAGGTGTGAGTGTGGGCTGGCAGGGAGCCAGGGGCCTGGTGCAGCACTCACCCTTTCCCTGTATGTGGAATGGGAAGTGGGGCTGGGGTACAGGGGCTGAGGCAAGGTATGTTCACCTTGTTGATGGTTAATTATATGCAGCTGGTTCCAGGCCAGACCTGAGGAGGACATTCGACCTGAACGCCTTGTCGGGGCTGAGTGGGGGGAGGAGGCAGGCCCTCGGCTGCCCAAGGCCCTGAGTGCAGCGGTCAGTGCACTGGTCAGAGCCTGTGCAGGCAGAGTGCCTAGCCTCTCAGTGTGGAGGGCAGAATGTATGTGACCCTCCTGCCTTGCCGCCAGAGTTGCCAGTGACTCTTCTGCGTCCCCTGCGGGACAAGATCGCCATGGAGAAGCACCGTGGAGTGCTGGAGTGCCAGGTGTCCCGGGCCAGTGCTCAGGTGCAGTGGTTCAAGGGCAGCATGGAGCTGCAGCCTGGGTCCAAGTATGAGATGGTCAGCGACGGCCTTTACCGCAAGCTGGTCATCAATGACGTGCAGCCAGAGGATGAGGACACCTACACCTGTGATGCTGGTGACGTCAAGACCAGCGCTCAGTTCTTTGTGGAAGGTGCTGGCAGTGGGGATGGGCAGCTCTCTCGGTTGCTGGAGGGAGAGTCTATGGCTTCTGTGTTTTTCCTTGGCACTTTGGCACTTTTTTTTTTTTTTTTAAGAGAGATTTTTGCTGTAGGGTACATGCGCTTGCCAGAAAGACAGAGAGAGAAAGCGAGACATCAACCCCCTGCCCCCCGCCAACGGAAGTTGGCCAGGCCACAGTCTCTTTTCCTCCAGTCTCCTCTCAGGATTTTGGGCATGTGTGTACAGGGTGTGAGTTTTAAGCTGCCAGGTCTGGGACTCGAACGGCAGTCGACTATGTGGGAATCCAGTGACATAACCATTACGTCATCTGCTGGTCCCTTTCCTTGGCACTTCTAAAGATGGTCAGGACTGAAAAGGGCTGCTCAGAGGCATCTGGACAGCTTGGGGAGGGTGTTAGCATGTTTGTCTGGGAGAGATTTTTTTCCCAGGAAGGAAATGGAGCCTACAGGAGTAGGGCAGCTAGTCTTACCCAGTGGGACTGCGCATGACTGGCCTCTTGCCTACAGAGCAATCCATCACCATCGTGCGGGGCCTGCAGGATGTGACAGTGATGGAGCCCGCCCCTGCATGGTTCGAGTGTGAGACCTCCATCCCCTCAGTGCGGCCACCCAAGTGGCTCCTTGGGAAGACTGTGCTGCAGGCAGGGAAGGATGTGGGTCTGGAGCAGGAGGGCACTGTGCACCGGCTGACGCTGCGACGTACCTGTTCCACTATGACGGGGCCAGTGCACTTCACCATTGGCAAGTCCCGCTCCACCGCCCACCTCGTCGTCTCAGGTGAGCACAGGCCATGTGGGTAGACATGGGGCAGGGTCGCAAGTGGATGCAGCTCAAGCTCATGAGTGGACATAGTTCAGGGCCTGGCGGACACAGCTCAGGGTCTTGGGCAGGCCAAGCCAAGATGGTCTGGTTTCTTGTGCACCTAGCTCACTCAGCATGGCCATGCCCTCCCCTCCCCTCCACAGACATTCCCATGGTGCTCACACGGCCACTGGAGCCCAAGGTAGGGCGCGAGCTGCAGTCAGTGGTTCTGTCCTGCGACTTCAAGCCACCCCCCAAGGCTGTGCAGTGGTACAAGGAAGACACGCCCCTGTCTCCATCCGAAAAGTTCAAGATGAGGCTGGAGGGCCACATGGCAGAGCTACGTGTCCTCCGGCTCACACCTGCTGATGCTGGAGTCTATCGGTGCCAGGCAGGCAGTGCCCAGAGTAGTGCTGAGGTCACTGTGGAAGGTAGGGAACGGGGGCAGGGGGGACGACGGGGTCATTGAGCCAGTCTCCAGGGGTGGGAGTAGCCAGTTCTAAGGCCCTGGTGTGCCCCTTGTAGTGCGAACGGTGACAGTGACACAGCCACTGCAGGATGCTGAGGCCACAGAGGAGAGCCGGGTTTGCTTCTCGTGTGAGCTGTCCCACGAGGATGAAGAAATTGAATGGTCGCTTAATGGGACAATCCTGTACAACGACAGCTTTCATGAAATCACACACGAGGGCCGCCGCCACACGCTGGTGCTGAAGAGTGTCCAGCAGGCAGACTCGGGCACCGTACATGCCTCTTCCCCTAAGGTGTCCGTCTCTGCCCGCCTGGTGGTCAGAGGTAAGCTGTCCCTGTGGGGTCAGCAGGGTTACTCCCTTCACCAGGGTGGGTACTGGGCTCCCCTCACTGGCCCGTGTTTTCCACCCAGCAAAGCCGGTAGTGTTCCTGAAAGCACTGGACGATGTGTCTGTGGAAGAGCATGGCACACTGGCTCTGCAGTGCGAGGTCTCAGACCCAGCGGCCCGTGTGCTGTGGCGCAAGGATGGTGTGGAACTGGGCCCCAGCGACAAGTACGATTTCCTCTACACGGCGGGGACACGGGGTCTCGTAGTACATGACCTGAGCCATGAGGATGCTGGCCTGTATACCTGCCACGTGGGCAGCGAGGAGACCCGGGCCCGGGTCAGCGTGCATGGTGCGTGGTTATGGGATCAGCCAGAGCTTGTGGGGTGCTGGGACATGTTGATCCACCTCTGTCCTGGGTATCCAAATACTCTCCAAGATGAAGAGGTTGTTCTGCTGAGCCAGGATAGGTGGAGAAGGCTCCTGGAGGAACAGGGGCTCTACATGGCCTGGTTATAAGCTGGTGGACCAGGGAATGATGAGCCAGAGCCAAGGGCAGGAGGCTACACAGTCCCTGCCTGGTAATCCTGACATAAGCCAGAGACATTCACACCACACTGCAGGACAGGTCTGGGCAGAAATAGGAGCAGGCATGGAGGCAGAGGGGACAGTCAGGGGAGCCTCCTGGAGGTCATGCACAGAAGCAGAGAGAAGCCAGGCAGAGGGCTGTCTGGGAAGGGCTCCTGGGCTGAGGGCACAGCTTAGTAGAGGAGGCAAGGGGGAGCTATAGGCAGACCAAGTTCCCATTTCTATGGAGCCTAAGATAGACCCAAATGTCACTTGGCTGGCAGGGCAGAAACATCACCCCAACCCAGCCCTGCTATTTCAGGTATACATTCCTGTCACCTAGGGCTGGGTTCCCCAACGACGGGTGGCTACCTGGCCTCCTGTGTGCACCGTTGTCTTGGCCCAGCTGGCTATAGTCTTGCTCTTGGTTCCAAAAGTGACAGGCCAGATGGAGGTTTGCTCGTCTGTGACTCCTGGAGGGTCCGTGGTTGTCTTGCTGATTTACAATGAGATAGGAATGGGAAAGGTGGCCTAGTGAATTTGTCCAGAGGCTGGACTCACCCTGTTTGGAGGGGTCCCTTTGTCAGGAGTTCCTGTCCTTCCTCTTCTGGAGATGATGAGCTGGTGACACCTGTGGGTGGTCCCCATTCTCTTGGCTATTCTGATGGGAACTCACAGATGCTGGTCAGATGCCAGGGTGTGGTCAGCTCAAGGCCAAGGGGTATATGCCGATTTGGTGATGTGCTGTGGTTTGGCCCTTCCTGGGGTCTAGCTAGGGCAATGCCATTCTCTCAGGGCAGGCATCTGCTCAGCTGGCTGATATGACAAGTCCCCTTTGATCTGCAGACTTACACGTGGGTATCACCAAGAGGCTGAAGACGATGGAGGTGCTGCAGGGTGAGAGCTGCAGCTTTGAGTGCGTCCTGTCCCATGAAAGCACCAGCGACCCTGCAGTGTGGACAGTCGGTGGGAAGACAGTGGGCAGCTCGGGCCACTTCCGGGCTACGCGCCAGGGCCGTAAATATACCCTGACAGTCCAAGACGCCACTCTGAGTGATGCTGGGGAGGTGGTCTTCTCTGTGCGGGGCCTTACCTCCAAGGCCTCACTTATTGTCAAAGGTAGGCACTGTAGGCAGGGGCAGGGCTTATTGCCTGGGCTGAGGGACTGCCAAATCTCTCCTCAGCCAGCCAGGAGTTGGGGTCCTGGGCTGCTAAAGCTGCCAGGCATAGGGTACTTAATGGGACTCTCTTCCCTAGGTCCTGGTGAGCTTCCATTTCAGAGGCCATAGGGACCTAGAGCCTGGGGTGCTGGGGAAGGTTCTGGCCACCCAAGTGGGGGGGGGACACTTTTGGATGAGCTTCTCTGAATGTTTGGTGCAAACCCAGGATTCTGGTCCCCAATCTATAGTCTAAATGAGCTTTGAGCAGTTGGTAGCCCCTGGCATGCGTGGTTCACCAAACCAATTGGATAACACTTGAGCCAAGGCCATCAGCTATGCACTTGGCTATGACTTCATTGTCACTATTTCTGAGCTTATGCTCCCGACTCACATACTTAGTGTTAACTGGTGGAGTGGCATCAGCCCTGGCCACACTTTGAATTGTGGAGCTCTGAACAATGCTGAGAAAGTAAGATTTTGTGGTCTCAGGTCCCTTTACCTTCCAGGTCCCACTTTGTGACAATAAGGTCTTCCAGTATTTCTAGACTCTGAGGTTCCTGGGGTTTGAGGTCGCGGAGTGTGGGGCTGTAACTTTTGTAGTCTCAGTCTCCAGGTACTGAACCTTCCTGTGTACTTGTTTCTGCCCTTGCCCTCTCCTTGCAGAGGCCAAGGCTGCACCTGTGACCATAGCTGGGGTTGCTAGTCATGGCCACAGCTGAGGTTGTGGCTGCGGCCATGGC